TAACCTTAAACCGCATAAACACATTTCATTACACCAAATACACAAAATAATGTTATTTTTAGCAACATCATATGACCCCTTTAAGAGACATTAACAAGATTAATTATCATAAGAAAGAAATCTTTCAATTTAATTTTCAAAGAATTTTTCAATTTATTTCCCACAAATGTCAGTTCCTAAATGAAGTATTTATCATCAAAAGTTGATATACATTTGCAAGCACTTCCAGTGCATTATTTTTGTGGTTGTTAACTGATCCTGCATCAGTGTTGGCTATTTCTGTTACCACTAAACCAATACATTGTAATCCAAGAAGCAGCCAGACGACTATGTGCTAAATTTATGCCAGTGAGTGTTGCTGTTAGAAATAAATCCCTGGAGAAAGTTATTGATGGACTTGCTGTTGTTACTGTATGTTTATGTTGAGCTAACAGCCACAATCACACCACATTCAGAATGAAACAGAAGTCTGAAAAAGAGCAGTCATGTCCACACACAGGGTGTCTGAATGACCTGTGGAAAAGACTCTCGCCCCTTTGTTTATAATACTGGGTGGCAAATGAATGACGAAACCTGTAGTGTGTCCGGGAAGTAACCGTAAATCGGGTCTTGCTTACTTACCTCCCAGACTTCTAACAAGGACAAGACATTCATCAGGAAAAAAAAAACAGGGGCCCTGCAACAAGTTTAAAATTAGTCTGGCCAGACTGAATAATTAGCCATGATCAAACTTGTGATGCAGAGAAGTCACTTCGAAGCTGAATAATGCCAACAATGAAACACAGAGCACATTGTCAGTCAGAAATAAACAATTTGTAAGAGATTCGTTCCACATAGGGTTTCTGATAACCTCATCATGTTTATTTTGTGATAATGACCAGCTGACTGCAAATTAACCTGCATATCTATTTACCAAATAAATGAATATGGGGAAATGCAAAATTGATTTTGAGTTGAAATTATTTTATAATCTTACCTGTGTATTATTTACTAAGTTTCTACTAAGAAAAAATAGTCCATTACAATGTACAAAACTGTCAGCCTAGCAACAAGCTAAAAACTGCAACAATAATACAGTAATATTAGTAGTGAAGATCTCTAAGGTCATTTACAGTAGTTGATAAATGAGTTGAAAGATGGCATCTGTTGGTTTTGTATGAAACAAGAGAGAGTCCACTGAGAGATATAGGACACATGAAAGTAGTGCTGGTTTCAGTTTCCTGGATCAGCAAACTGACATACAGCTTTGTTATTAATGACAATAGAGATTCCACAAAGTCGTATATAAACAGTTTAATCCATATAAACAATATTCACATCACATCACACACAACTTGATAATAATTACTCAATGTTTAATAAATCAGAAAAGTAATGAGGAATTTGCGGCAGCACAAATTTATCAGGAATTATCAGAGATGACTGTAAGTCAAAAGAATCACGTGGCTCTTGAGGATGAAGGGGCTGTCCAAGTGCAGAGAGCTGAGAGCTAAGTGCAGAATGAAGCAAAGCAATTAGTGAGTATAAAGTAAGAAAAGCTCCCAAAAGAGCTCAGCTAAATCCCTACAGCACACATCCCAAGGGGTTGAACTGATTTAAAAAGCCCAGTGAGGGTTGAGGTGTGAGTGGTTATCTACAAAAACAAAATATAAAAGTTAGTAAGAAAGAAAATTGCCTGGTTACTTTGAATGTGTGATTTAAATCTGTTTAGATTTCATCTATCAGAAGATGAAACTGAAAGACTCTGAGCAGATGAGTGTGTGGTCATCATCACATTCAGCTGCAGTCAGAGGTCACTGGTCTGCAGGACATCCTCCCTAAATAATAACAAACTAACTTGAAAATAACACAATTAACCATTCACTAAGCTAAGAAGGGACATGCAAAGGGATGGTATCCACCATTCTGAGGGAAATTGTTTTTTTTCTGAGAGCCCATTTGAAGTGACTTTAGATTAATCACATCACTTAGCAATGTAACTAAACATTTTCTTAATATCTTAATTCTCTCACTCCCTGCTTGAGATTAGAATGGTATTTTATCTAGCTGCAATTAAGAGGGGAAATGTTCATAGATCCTACATTTTTGTTTCAGATCCTAATTAAAATGCTAAAAAACACAATTAAAGATGTACAGCATTAAACTGGCATTATATTTTTAGTTTGTTCTATTACAACAGAATACTAGATAGTAGGGTCTTCAAATATTGTTTTTGACAAAGGGAGACTTGGAAGACAAATATAATATGTCAATAATCAGAAAGAGTGAGGTGATTCAATTTTCTTCAGAATTCTTTTGATTGCCTCCCAGAAGTTTTTTTGTTGTTGTTTTGTTTTAAGCTGTGGTGTTAAGTAACCGAAATTCAATTTCTGTCAAATTCATTGTCAACCAGAATTTTCACGTTTCATGTCCAACACTGGAGTCTGACATTATACTTTGACATCCAGTGCTTGCTGGGCTCTTTATGTAAAAGTATTATTATTATTATTTTTTGACTGTATAAGGAATCTCCAGGGATGTTTTATATGGTTCACTCTTTTGTTAAGTTCTCTTTGTCACCCACATCCAGTGTGTTTTAATCATGTCTACCTTATAGAGCTTTAAGGTTTTTAATATAACTAAATGATTTATGTTTTAAGACTTGCCCTGGAAGTTTGCAGAGGCCCTCTAATGGGCCCCAGCCCCGTTTTTGGTACATGTATAATGTAATTGCTACCTAAACCTCAGTTAACACCCAGTCTGAATGAACAAGCTCAGGGGGGGGAAACCAAAACATACCAACTATACAAAAAGAAAAAAAAAACTGAAATAAGATCTATAGCACACAGCAAATAGTCTTATAAACAAACTATTAAAGGCCATGGACGAGAACTGTTTGTTCTGACCACAGTATCTTGACTTCCTTTTAATTAAGAAACAAAAATGAAAGAAAATTCAGCTTGGCTTCAGTAAACAAGAGTGGAGGGAGCGATAGCTGGCTTTTGAGAGTTTATGTGAATTCCAGTGAAAGAGATTAGCATGCTCTCATGTTCTTCCTCTCACTGCTGTCCAACATGTTATTACTAAGCTACCTGTGTTTTAAAAGCCATCATCGTGAGTACTGTATCACAGTAATGAAAGGCTTGCCAGGGCATCTCTCCACATATCTGAGGCATGTTACACGCTTTGCTGCATTTGAACCAGACAGATTGTTCACACCTTTTAAAAACATCTACACAGGACCAGCCCACATCGGTTTGTACCAGCACTGTATAATATCTAATGGCATCACGCTATGGATTACCAGATACCAGAGGCTAGTAGATCAACGAGATCAAAGCAGATGAGATTTCATCTGGATGCACAGGAATCCAAACCTTCATTCACCTTTAGAGTGTTTTTTATGCTTTTGATAGCAATGCAGTCTTTACAAAAAAGTGCTGCATACACTACAAAAATTCTGTCATCAGTTTTTTGTTGCTACAATGTAAAGTTAATGGTCATTAAAACCTTTTGGTTACTCATACTTTTCAAAACATGGTTTGGAACGCATGAGAGTGAGTAAATAATGACAGAATTTGCATTTCTAGGTCAGGGGTTCTTACTACTTTCATTAGCATAGTGATTTTTTGCGTTTTCATTTTTAATATAATTTTTTACAAAACTGCAGCTGCAGGGGTGAAAGCCCAATCTTGTTTTGCCTTTTGTACATGGGGGACCAGATTTATCAAAGCTTAAATATAGAAGTTTATAAAGGTGCGGTCACAGTTACATTGTTTGGTTAATTTTCATGGGCTAAATCTAGTAATTTCAATAGAAATCTATGCAACTGGGAATTTTCAGCAAAAGTAGATTTCGCAGTTGGTCACACAGATTCGCCGCACTGACCAACAGAAAATTGCTTGGTTTGAAAGTGACTTTTGCGCTTCATACGTCACTACAGCATTGATAATAGACCTTTTTACCCACGAAATGTCGCTAATGTCACCACACCTTACATCTCTGCTTGTGTCAATCATCCTCTGTTCTCGCCTACTTGGACCACAATGAGCAATGCACAACAAAAAGAGGAAGAATTTTAGTAAAAGCGACTTGATTGATTTGACCAACAAGATGGTTTTGAACTCAAAACTCGAAAATGACCTGGATGAACGCAAAAATACATGGCAAAAAAAAAAAAATAATAAAATTGTGGACATGGCACACAGATAACATTGTTATTGCTTTCTATTAGCAACCTCCGGAAGTGGAATAGAAAGCTACACAGATAACAACACAGGGAAGAGTGCATTTTGGATTTCTGGATCTCGGTTATAACAGTTTCTCTGGGAATCTGGCATCATTTTCTCTGGCAGTCAAGAGGCAAGGATCTGGCAGTCAAGAGGCAAGAGATGGGCATAAAACCACTCACGATATGGTGAAAAAAATGCATTCCTGAGCTATATTTAGATATCTTTCTTCATCTCAAAATATTTGGTCATTTGAATCTAGTAATTCACAAAATATACTGCATTCATTTCAAAGTCCTCACATGCATAACATGCTGAAAAGACAACGTCTTTGCGTTATCGCAAATAACATCTTTGCCAAAATAAAAACTAAAACCAAAAGATCAATTTTGCTCAGATCAGTGCAAACTTCAACATGAGCAATAACAGTGATACATGTGTTCCACGTCCACAGATCACACCTCTTAAAGACGTTTTAAAATCCCAAAGTTTTTTTTTTCCCGTAAAAACCCCTCACAAGGATCAGAGCTGCAGAGAGAGGGCCCATGCTGAACAATGGTGAGAAATACCATCACAACAAACGTTCACGAAAGAAGACGTCCACAACAAAAGTTCAAAGGGAGAGAACATGAACAGATTTACAAGTACAAATACAACTGACATATCAGAAGCCGCATTACAAGTCTGTATAAAATCTGAAATAACCACAAAGATATAGTAAATATACAAGTAAAATGGTTCCTTTTTATGGTCTAGATTGTTCCAGCCATCTGAGACAGTCCTGTGCTAAAGATCTGCATAGCCAAAGCTTGTATTCGCTAACTATGGACTGGATCAATATCAGCGAGATACAAAGGTTTTTCTTTTAGATTTATACCAAAAATCATAAAAATGTCAGCGCCTACTCACAATTCATAGTTCTTAAACTTTATCTTTGTAAACAGTTTGCCCTTTTTCTGTTTCAAAAATACATTCTAGTCAGACAGAAAATTGTGAGGCATATATATGTGGCAAAGCTCTCTCTTATCTTTTTATACAAAAAATATGCAACATAATGCTCTATACACACCATCTACACTCCTCCTCTCTTTATAGTACGTGACTGCGCAGGAGGAGAGGTGTAATTCATTTAATTCTGTCATTTGAATAAGGGGGACTGGCCACATTCTGAAGGATGGACTGAGCATGTACGAGTGGCTTTGGCTCACCTACGTGCCAGCAAAGTGATCGCTGATTGGTCAGAAAACCACAGCATTATCATGCGGTTAGCTTAGCGCATGCTCCAAGCTTCAGGCAGTGACACCAGAGACTGCTGGTTAATTTAGATGTGTCTGCTACTCAGTAGCCCGAACCAGACGGTTCAGGACACCGAACATGTTCTGTCTTGGTACTGAAAAAGAGTTTGGGTTGCGTGGCTAGGGGGAAAGCTCAACCCATCCTGCTGGTGTCTCGTATCACAGCATTTGGTGCATCAATATGGGCTGGTATTAGGCCGGCTGTCGACTCCTTCTGTTCCATAACACGTCATATTGTCATCTTCTCACCGTCTCCGCATTCAGGACCGTCCCATCCTTTCGCTGTTATCGAAATGTCACTGAAAGCTGCTGTGACCCTCTAATAAAATCCAAAAGCAATATGTAAAACAAGCACATTCATTTTGTTTTGGTTGCATGGCTTTGAAATAGACCAGCAATGCAACAGCCCGATCCAGTCATCGGTTTGGCATTGCTATGGCTTCTGTGTTCTGATTGTCACTCGGCACAAGGAGTAGATACACGGCAGGTTCATGTTTGTTTGTTTCATTGTCTTTACAAATCAAAGCACGTGTGAAGCATCCAGATTGGCTTCACACATCTGCTGAGTGATGAACGATGTCTTGGGAGGCAGATGGAGCATGCTGAGCAATGGCGGCCACTGAGAGACGGCGTCTGGGTGACTCATGCGAGCGTGATGATTCACTTTATGTCAACATGTAGTGTTTATGCATGCACTTTGCGTTTAGGAAAATGTAAAGATCTTTTTATGTTTATAGAAGTCTGAGTGCTATAGGCTCTGTGCTTTAGTCGTCATGTTCATGGACTTGTATGTATGCATGTATACATGCATGATGTGGCTCTTTAAAGTCTGTCGCTGCGAAAGCTGTCCTCTACTGAGGGGTCAGGGAGGACCATATCGGGGTCACTGAGCATGCTCAGTCCGTCCAAACTGAGCGGCTCGATACGTAGTTCATCCTCCAGTGGAAAAACTCCTTCTGAGTCCAAACACTCTGGCACTGCGGACAACACACTGCTGATGTCCTTAGACAGGCTGAGATTGGAGTCATCTGAGAGACAGAACGAAAAACAACAGAATTGTGAGTGAGTCCAGGAAATGTGAAAGAAGAGATGTGCAAAATTTTTAAATTTTTTTATCTAAATGACTAGTCAATTAACCAGTCTTAAGGAATCCCTTCATAATCGATCTGGTTCTGGTTGATGTGGCCTCAATTGGATGCGTTTCTTCTGGGGAATTTGCATAAGATGTGTCGTTTTGTTCCACAAAATGGCATGCAATGGAATGGAAAACAGTATAGAGGTCTTAACATACTACTTTAAGACTGCAACACTTGTGTTGGGAAGCTCAAAACAAACGAATTGAGATGCCAAAATGTTCATGATCAAAATGGTCATGCGACACTAGAGTAATGGCAGCTGAAATTTCAGCTTTGCCATCACAGGAATTTATTACATGGAAAAATACAAAAAAAAGAAAAAAGAACACAGTTCATTTCAATTTTAAACTTTAGAAAAAAAAAATATAAGTCATTATAATCAGTAATTATGTCCCCACTGGATGCAACAAATGCCTCGTTTGTAATGGGTTTTCATGTTTTTGTGTCGTTGCTCCGGCCGGGACACGGCATCAACACAGTATGGTAGGGGTGTAACATTTCCGTCTCACGCTTTAGGTATTCGGCCAATCACAACGCACTGGACAGCTGAGTTCACACAATGTAAAGACTGTGTAATTCATACTGGAAGCCGGAGGGCGCTCTTGCACAGAAACTCCACATATCCATAGCGATATGATATCGAAAAGTATAGATATTCGATATTTAATTTTACAGTGGGGTAATTTTAGTGCAGTAGCACGAGATAGCTTGCTTTCAAACTTTGAATTGAATAAAAAATTACAAGCACACACAGCTGTCACCAATCAAACACCCTACATAAACCATGGACTTCCCCATTTCTCACTGCCGAGTATTGTTTGCGTTTATCTCTCTCCTAGTGGTAGCACTTTAAGGAGCCAGTTCTCCGTCCTAGTTTCTAGTTCTAGTCTAAGTCTAGTCACGTCGTATTGCCTTATTGCCTGTTTCCTGATCTTCTGCCTGTCTTGGTTGTCTCTCTCGTCTTGTCATTTGGACTCTGTTTGTACCTCGCCTGGATTGGCATCTGTCTGTTGGATTACCCGTTTGCCTTGCCCTGTTGGATATTGTTCGCCGGAGATTGATCACGTCTGTCCTTGGATTACTCTTTTGTCTCGCCTGTGCCATACCTGTTTGCTGGTGTTTTGACCCTGCCTGTTTCTGACCATGTCTGTGAATAAAGCTTTGCAAATGGATACGCATGCCTCTCGTCTCGTTCGCCCCGTTACAAACCGGTATCAATCTCAGACAGGTTTGTTAGAGACTTTGCCAGGTAGTCTTAGGTAAATTATGAACCTACTTGAAGAGGTTGTTGCACATTATTAAGCAAGACAACAGTTCTCATGCAATACGGGGAGGAAGAAAGATATTTCTAAAGATGAAAAGCTTGAGCTTTGTGAGTTAGGGTTGGCTGAAATACAATGCTCAACTGCCAGCCAGCATAGAGAGACACCAGCAGCTTCAAACACCTGTTTACTGCTCAACAGTGGCTTTTTAAAGCTGCCTTTATAATAAAATGAATTTGTTTGACTGAAACTTTCCTTAATAAACCTTTATCTGATCAAGCTCTTCTGCACTCAAAAATCACTCAAAAATATTTTGACAGTTTAATAATCTCTGATCAGTTTTTGCAAGATAAGTTGTTTTCATGCCTTTCGCAAGATGTTGCAGTATTTCATTACTTTTCATCTTCAGAAAGATCTTTCTTCCTCCCCATATTGCATGAGAACTGTGACTTGCTTAATAATGCGGAACAAACTCTTTAAGTAGGTTCACCATTTACCTAAGAAGGCCTGGAAAACTATTTATCAAACCTGTCTGAGACTGATATCAGTTATCTAAAAATATATGAGAAATAAAACAAACACTTTCTATGAATGTTTATTTTACTGAAATCTTCCTTGCATAATAATTTGGAACACACGGTAGTCAGCTGTTGGATGACTAGGTGAAGATCAACTAGCATATTTTTGAATATGACATTTCCTTGTTATTTCAATGTACATTTTATTGGCAGTTACATAAAACGAGTCCATGAATTAAGAATCTGAGTTTGTGCTTTGAAAGCAGGGCATGAGGATGAAACCTGAAGAGTAAATTCTCATAATGACTCACAATGACCTGCTGTCTGATCTTCCGCACCTGTAAGGATGATGTTGGGCACTCCTCCTCCACAATTAGAGTAGAGCATGTTGGGTCTCATCTGAAGGTGGTCTTGCAGGTTGCCATGACTGCCACCTAAGCCCATGAGGGCAGTCTGGGAGCAGTAGAGGTTGGAGGAAGGGTCAAATCCTCCTGCCATAGAGCTCATGACATTCTCCAACATATTATACTGATCCTGCTGTTTAAACACACACAAAATATTCGTTACAAAACATGATCAACTTGGGAATCAGAGTGTACTTCAAGATGTTCGATATTTACCTGATAGGACGAACACTTGGACTGACGTCCAGAAAACTGCTGCTCCATAAAGGGATCGTTGAAAAATGCTCCCATGCTGTTGTGCTGTGAGCAAAAACAAGATACAGTGTTTTTCTGTTCAGCCAAGAATAACCAGCATCTGTAACAGTGTCTTTCCCCTCAGATGCCTGCTTCTACTAATGTTACAAAGGGAACTCACAGCGCTGGAATTAAAGTCGAGTGGGACGTTCTGCAGCGGGGACACAGGCTGGTGCTGTTGTTGCTGCTGTTGGCCACCTGTTGCTCGTTGCTGCACCCCTGGATGCTGGGAGCTCTGCTGCATAGACGGATGGGACTGAGGAGGAGGCTGTTGCTGCAGGGGCTGCTGGGTTTGCTGGTAAATGGGGTAGGGAGGGGGCGGCTCCATCGGCAAGTTACTGGTGTCCAATGCAACCCCCTGAAGAGAACGGGAAAGTTATAAAAATAATTTTACTGGGAGCTTGGCTACGGTACGCTGCAGAACACCCTGTTCCTGGCAAAAATGAACAATAAACCAGCTGCCACATTTCTAAGAATAGGGCTCCACAAACTATATAAAAGTACACAAATACATAAAAAAAAAACGAGTGATGGCATTGAGATTTACAGATGGCACTAGCATCTGGTTTGGTATTGCGTTTCATACAAAAAAGATGATGTATGGTTTTTGAAGACGCTACACAGATTATAAGGACCACTTTTTTAGCCGTTTTTTATTTTAATTTTAGCAGCATGACAGACATGGTAATTATGAACAGCAGTTGTTTGGAAAAGAGCTGCTTCAAAATTAATAACCGGGGCTGGTTGTTGATACAGAATTCCCATTTCAATTAGATTGCATTTTGATTACCAAGCTTTTCATTCAATTTGATTTCCATCTTGCTTCCACTGTTCTTGCTGTAAATTATACAGTGAAGCTTCTGATTTGGTACATTACAAAAACTTTTTTTTTTTTAATTAACTACAGGGTCTAAACTTCAATTGCTCATACACCACCATTCAAAAGTTTAAAATGTTTCAGAATAAGAAATGTTTCTTGCGCACAAAATCAGCATATTAGAATGTTTTACATTAGAATATTAGAATGACTGGAGTAATGGCTGCTGAAAATTCAGCTTAGTCATTACAGGAATAAACTGCATTTTATATACATTAAAAAAAGAGAAAACTTATTTTTAATTGTAATAGCATTTCAGAATATTTTGTATTATTGTTTTTTAATGGAATTATAAACATGACAGTGAGAATAAAATGTCATTTGAACTATTACCTTAAGGTTTTAACCATTTGGCATTTCCACCATTTGTAGCAGAGAATTTAGTGTTGAATTCAAATGGTTGTGCCACATTTGAACTCAACACAGAAATCTGTTACAAACCATTGCAGGGTCAAAAATGATATGCAGGGCACTATCCAAAGACTCAGAGTAAACAACCCTTTCCTATTCTCTCACGCCATGTATATAATTGGTCTGTGCTGTGTGGTTCAATCACTAGTGATGTATCAACACACATTTGAGTGTTTGCCTTTCAGCATTCATAGCAGAAAATGGTAGTGCATAATTACATTTGTTTTTTTTAAATTTGCAGTCCTGAAAAGTCTAACAACATTAGACACTAGAGCCCTGTAAGCAGTTTAATACAAGCAGCTAGTTATGTTCTGGATGAGGAAGATACCACCAGAGAACATGAGATGCTGGATGAGGAGATTTAATGAATACTTTTCTCACCTGTGTGATCGGGGACAGAGAGGGCGACATTGTCGGGGAGAGCTGCTTGCCCAGGCTTCGCCTCTGATCGCCCCCTGGAGAGAGTGTCAGGGGACTAATGGGGGCCGGCCGTCTCCTGGGTGAACTCGCCATGCCCGTCGAAGGAGGGTTGGACAGCGAGGAGAGACGCAGAGACGTGTGGATTGATGGATTGCTGAGAGACGAGTGCAGCTGAGAGTTGGTGAGGGATGCCTGGATGGAAGGGTTGCTTAGAGAGGATGACAGCCCTAAGAGGACAACAAACATGACATAATCAGCTCCAGGGGTCAAAAGTACTTCTTGAACCGCCTTAATGAAACCGAGACAAACCAATAATGGCTTTATGAGTCACTGCGTGCAGGCCGGCTCCTGTCCTGATGTCCACTCCTCAGAAAAGACACTGAGCAATTGTCTGCAGGTTACTGGACCAGCGAGAGCGAGAGAGAAAAGAGCTGTTTATGAGCAGCCAATTCAGGGGTTAAAGGTCGGCTGTGTCTCTGGGGATCGGCCAATCAGCTAGCAGCACAGCTGAAACGGGCAGCAGAAACATCCCAGCACACCCTGTTCCCAGACATGAGAGCGAATGGAAAGAATAAAGCTCAAGAGAATGGAAGTCAAAGAGAGCGATCAGATGGCGGATGGATTTAAAAAGGGGGGAAGAGAGAGGAGGAGAGCTGTGGTCTTCTGCATGGATGTGGCCCTTTAGAAAACACATGGCATTCATTCCCCAGAAAGCGCCTACAGTGTAAGCCTACAGTGTGCCGTTAAACAAAGGCCGGAGTGTTCAGCCAGGCTCTTCTGAAGCCAGGAGATGCTTTAACAGCAAACGAGCCTCCTTGAATATCGATTTGGTCCCAAACAAAAGCTCTTTTTAGTCTTAGACTGTGCGTGAATGAGATTACGCATGTGTGAAAACCAGTACAAGTATTAATGTGTCTGTTTATGACCAATATAGTAAACCCACTGACCTTGTGAGTTTCCGATGCCCAGATGCATCATGGCTGCGGGAAGGTTGCCGGTGCTGCTGCCTCCGCTCAGGTTGGGATATCCAGCCTCGTCGGGGTCCAGCGGAGTGGGCAGCGGAGAGGGGAAGTGCAGGTTACTGAGGTCAGGAAGAGACCCGCCAGTGTTTAGCGTGCCCTGGTAGTGAGACAAACCCGCGTTCTGCTCTGGAGATGGGAATATACTGCAGAGAAACAGAGAGGGACAATGTTAAATGTACAGCAAATATCTAGTAAGCAACCAATAAACATGCACACTCACACACAAATTTCTCTTGACTTACTTGATTCCAGGCACTTCACAGGACTTTGGCCGGGAGGACAGAGACTGCACCTGCAACCAGGCAACATGTGTATTACACATCTACACTTGCAGAGATACATTTAACAGCCTGCTATCTACAGACAATCAATTAGTACTGTAGCTAGTAAGACAAAATGGCATCATACTTAAATCAATAAAACTTTTTTTCTGTAATCAACAGCACAAAGATTCTGTTAAAGTCACCATGAAATCAAAACTGACAATTCCTATGTTTATGGAATGTTGCAGTATCCGCACACAACATTAGTTTTTCAAAGAGAAAGAAAAAATAAGTACCCTGTTAAAACATTAACATGCCTCTCTCCTTACAATCACATCTCTTCTCTGATGACATGTATACTGACGCAAGGGCTGAGTAATAACGTATCCAAGCTTCAATCACTCACAAAATGACTGCAGTAATTAACCAACGTCAATGATCCAATCAATTCCTGATGGACAATAAAATTCCAACCTACATATTTTACTTGGTCGAGAAGATTTTGTACTTGATTGTAAAAAGGGGCATAATATGTCTCCTTTAAGCATTGGGATAAAAAACAAAACAAAACAAAAAAACATTGAGAATGACCCATGTCTTTCAGCATATTAGCATTAAAATAGCTAAGTGAACCACTGCTGATGTAATAGACAGTATATTAACACATGGCATGATTAACACTTTAATTGCAAGCTTTTACGTAAAACAGATCCTGAAATTAATCATGTGTCTAATATCCACAAATGAATTAGTCTAAAGCACTGAAAGTAATTATTTCTCCATCCACAAAACCTAGTCTAAGGTGTAACTGTGGTGAAAATAAGCACCATCATACTCATATTTTATGAATGTTATGAAAACAACAGGGATGAAGTCATTACACAAATAAATGTAATCATATGCCCTGAGAATATTATTCTTGTTAAATCAATTATTAAGAAATAGCAGAACAATATACTTTCAGAATGATGGACTCGAAGGAAATCACAAAGGCACGGCTCAAACCAGAACCTCCACAAATTCAGAGATGCGAAACAAACATGCAAATACATCTCATACTAAAACTCATACTAAAAGTAACACAATTTAACAAATTGAAGTTTAAATTAAAAATAGATGGGAAAAGCACATAAAATATCAGTGGGGCCAAGGGAGCCCAATTAAATATAATATATAAGGTCCAGAAAACCTTGTGTCACTGATAAGTTTTTAACTGAAAATTGTGAAAACAGAAATGAACATAAACAACCCCCTCCCCTTCTTCTCCCTGTGTTTCTTATTTTGTTTCTCTGTTGTATATTTGGATTATGCCATAAAAATATCACTTTTCAATATTGTTAACTGGCTCTCTGATGATTTAACACAACATATTAGCAAGCATCACTAAAATATTTTGAACGCAAACCAGACGAAATTGATCACATTGATTCTCAAATGAATCAAGCCTTGAGCATTAACAGTAATTAATTATTCCTTGATCTTTCACACAAAACCTTCACTCTCCTCTGATGCCTGGAGTGAAAAAGAAACAGCCTCCAGCAAATGGCGCTTTTACACTGCGATGACTGGTACTAGGGATGGGCGTATCGATACAAAGTATCGATATATCGATACTGACGCGAGTATCGAAAGTATCGAT